TCCCACCCTCCTCATTCCCGGGAGCATCACATCCACAGTGGGAAAAGCCCCCCCGGGAGCGGCCGTGCCCCTCACCTGCTGCAGGCTGTGCAGGAGCGCTCCCGTTTCCACATCGAGCACGTTCACTTTGCTCCCGCAGGGGCAGAACATGAACTTCCCATCGCGGCTTATCTGGGCAAGAGGGGGCGGGAAGCAGGAACGTTACAGAGCCGGGACACGCGGCACTCCCAAACCCTCCGGAGCCGGGATTACCTGGATTCGCCCTCCCTTGTAGAACGGCTCGATCTTCCGCGACACGGCGTAGCTGGAAGGGAAAGAAACAGGAACGGAGCGGCCCCGTTAAACCGGGACGGCGGTGGCCGCGCAGCCCCATCCCGGCGGCCCCTCGGTCGCCCTTTCACTCCCATCCAGGCCCTCATAGCCCCGGCGCTCACTTGCTCTTGAAGCGCACGGGCTCCGCGGCGGCCGCGTCCGTGTCCGCCATGGCCGCGCTCCACGTGCTTCCGGCGGCCACGGGAGGCGCTTCCGGCGCGCGAGTGACGCAGCGGAGGGGACGCCGCCAGAGCCACGTTTAGTGCGGGCCCGGGGCGGCGGGATCGGAGCTCCCGATCCCTCCGAGACGGCGGGAACAGCCCTCCCCGCCCCCGCGCCGCTTCCCAGCCATCCCGACAGTTCCCCAGCAGAGCATTCCCTCCCCGCCCCAAGGAAGCCACTTCCCGGGTCCACCCACAGGTGAAAGCGGGATTTTTGAATGGTGGGAAAACGAATGCAGACTTGACACTGTTTTAGGCAATTCATCTTTTATTGAGCATAAAAGTCCATAAGTGAACCCTTTCCAGCTGCGACCCCTGTGTCGCCGTCCATCGCAGCCTCCCCGTGCTTCGCACGGACCTCACGGGGAAGGGGCCGCCCTGGCCGCGCTCCGCACCTGTGAAGGAGAGGAAAAGCGCTTAAACAGCCGTTCCAAGGCCGGCCCTCCCGGGGCACCCCAGCAAGGGGCTTATGGGAACATGGGTTTTACTCCCCACACACAGCCGTGGGGAATAAGCTTAATGTTCCCGATGCTGTGGGCGCCGTTATCTCACCCGGGGCCACGGCAGACCCCGAGTGATTTTCAGACCGCGCCGGGCGCTACCGCGGACCCCAGAGCGCCTTCCCGGGCCGCTCTGCACACCCCACCGGTCTGACCCAACCCCCGCTGAGGCAACGCCATGAACAGCTCCCAGCGCCATTGTTTAAAGGCCAAAGGAGCCCATCAGGCGCACACACCGCACTCCTGCCCTCACCTGCCGCGGGACCGCCGCGCAATGAGTGCGCCAGGCGTGCGCGCCCTTATATACGGGGAGCCGCGCACGCGCTGGCCCCGCACCCTGTATAACCAGCCCTAAGCCGCTTATTTGTCGCGTGGTGTGTTCTTTATTCAGCTCGCAGGGGTCGCACGGCCGGGCTGTGCTCTCGCGAGACTCCGCGCCCCATAAATAGCGGGCGGTGCGGCGGCGCGGCCTTCTACACTGAGACAACACGTAAGTACCGGAGGGAGCGATGGCGGCGGGAGCGGCCTGGGCCCCCATCCGTGGCCATCCGCGGCCATCCGCGTCCCCCGGGACTAGCCAGGGCCCGCCTGACGCCTCGCTCTCTTCCAGCAAATGGCGGACGACGCCGGTGCTGCGGGAGGACCAGGAGCGGCCCGCGGGGGCTTCCGCGGTGGATTCGGGACGGGGCTGCGGGGCCGCGGGCGCGGCCGCGGGAGGGGCCGGGGCCGAGGCCGTGGGGCCCGCGGGGGCAAAGCCGAGGACAAGGAGGTGAGTCCCGGGGCCGTCCCGGTGCTGCCGCCCTCGAGGATGGGGCAGCAGAGCCGGGGTCCGGCGGGTGATGGCAGCTGGTGATTCATTGTCCATGGATTTCTTTGGCAGTGGATCCCTGTCACCAAACTCGGCCGCCTGGTTAAGGATATGAAGATCAAGTCTCTTGAGGAGATTTATCTCTTCTCACTTCCCATCAAGGTGAGTTGCTGTGGATGTGGAAGTGATGGGTCATGGAGATGCTCTGAGGGGTGGAGTTAGGCTGGGAGAGCCTGAGGGTGTTCACCTGGAAGTCAGAAGGCTCTAGGGAGACTTAAGAGCCCCTTCCATTGCCTAAAGGGGCTCCAGGAGAGCTGGAGAGGGACTGGGGACACAGGATGGAGGGACAGGACAAGGGGGAATGGCTTCCCACTGCCAGAGTTAGAGTTACATGGGATATTGGGAAGGAATTATCTCCTGTGAGGGTTGGGAGGCTCTGGCACAGATTGCCCAGAGAAGCTGTGGCTGCCCCATCCCTGGAAGTGTCCAAGGCCAGGTTGGACGGGGCTTGGAGCAGCCTGGGATAGTCAAGGTGTCCCTGCCCATGGGAGGGGTGGAATGAGTTTAACTTTTCGGGTTCTTCCCAACTCAAACCTCCTCAGGATTCCATGATTCCCGTGTGCTCAGTGCCTGACTCTTGCAGGAGTCGGAGATCATCGATTTTTTCCTGGGCTCATCCCTGAAGGATGAGGTGCTCAAGATCATGCCTGTGCAGAAACAGACCCGTGCTGGGCAGCGCACCCGCTTCAAGGTAACCCTGCTCCCCTGCTTCCTCACGGTGAAACCTCCCCTCTGCTCTCTCCTGCATTATATTAGTGTCATTTTAATTGCTCCAAATCCCATTTTCTGTAGTAACCAGTAAATATTTGGTTATAAGAGCTGTTAGTAACTTACAAAGTGTATTAACTTCATAACCTCAGAGTTGTGTGCAGATGTTCCTCGAAGCAGCACCATCCCAAAAGTGGGACTGTAACACCTTTAAAAGCCCTTTCAACCAAACTATTCTGAGCCTACAAAATTAGGTTATGCTTGCACAGCAGTGCTGGGCTTTCAGGAGAAGTTTTGGGTGTAAAGAGGGAATGCTGTTTGGAAATCATTAGGATTTCTGCCCAGTATGAGGCTGCAGCAGGGAATCGAATCCCAGTTCTTTAGCTTTGGCTGGTTTTGACTGAAGGATGAGCTCAGAGGGGAAAACAGGTTTCAGGAATGCGACCTCTGTTGATCAAGGTTTGGGAGTGAGCTGTGAGTTCCTGCTGAGCACACCCATGGATTATCCTTGAGAATCCCATGGACTGTGCTGTGCTGAGGGAGCTCCTGCACAGCTGCCATCAAACCTTCTCTTCCAACACAGGCGTTTGTGGCTATCGGGGACTACAACGGGCACGTGGGGCTGGGCGTGAAGTGCTCCAAGGAAGTGGCCACGGCCATCCGGGGGGCCATCATCCTGGCCAAGCTGTCCATCGTGCCCGTGCGCCGCGGCTACTGGGGCAACAAGATCGGGAAGCCGCACACTGTGCCCTGCAAGGTGAGGGTCCCACGGGGCTGCAGTTCCTGGGGGCTGTGCCCGGAGGGGTGTCTGGGAGCCTGACCCGCTGTGTCCGTGCAGGTCACCGGGCGCTGCGGCTCCGTCCTGGTGCGCCTGATCCCGGCTCCGCGCGGCACCGGGATCGTGTCGGCCCCCGTGCCCAAGAAGCTGCTGATGATGGCGGGGATTGACGACTGCTACACCTCGGCACGGGGCTGCACCGCCACCCTTGGCAACTTCGGTGAGCGTGGGGTCACTCGGGGCCGTTCTTGTCCCTGATGGGGACACAAAACGCACCTTTCCACAGTATTTTTAATCTGCTGAATAAAAACTGCCAGCAGGGGAGCAGAAGCCAAGGCTTCTGCTGACAGGGCAGGTTCGTCCTGCTGCAGGTGGTCCTCGAGTTCTGTACAATGACAGAAAGCTGTGGGTTTATCCTGTGCTGGTCCCGAATCATCTCCCAATCTGCGCGATTGCACTTGTGTCCCGTAGTGTAATTGTCGTAACTGGAGAGAGAGAGAAACCCGAGTTTTGTGTGTTCACCGGAGAGACCCCGGCCGTGGTCTCCCTGTCCTTGCAAAATCTCACATTTTTGGAGCTGTGGGGTGTTTTTGGGGCTGTGGGTGGGACTGGTGAGCAGGGTCTGCAGCAGTGACAGGCCGTATGTGACACCTCTCTGCAGCCAAAGCCACCTTCGATGCCATCTCCAAAACCTACAGTTACCTGACTCCTGACCTCTGGAAAGAGACTGTCTTCACCAAGTCTCCTTACCAGGTAACAGCATTTTGGCAACTTGCTCAAATCTTACCCTTCCTGCTCCTAAAATTCAGGTTCTTGTACCCAAAAAATGGGTAGTTATAATGAGACAGTTAATAAGTTTAGGTCTGAGCTGACTGCCGGGTAAAGCGTGATTTTTAAGCACCTTAGTTTTGAGTAATTGAAAGTGGGATTCAATGGACAAAGAAGAGTAAAGCTGTGGAATGTTAAATAAGTTGAAGTACCCCAGCCTCACCTACACACCTGGTGCAGGGGTTTAAGGGGTGGGAAGTGGTGCTGAGGAACCTCTGAGAGTGGATTAAGGAAATAAAGCACTGTTCATGTACTTTTTGCAGGAGTTCACTGATCATCTGGCCAAGACCCACACAAGAGTGTCGGTGCAGAGGACCCAGGCAGCTGCTGTGGCCACGACTTAAGTGGGTTTTGTACAAGAATAAAGTGATCAGTGAACACGGAGTTGTGGTTGGTGTGATGGGGGGGTCGATGCACGGGGCAGGTGTGGTAAATCATGGAATGGTTTGGGGTGGGAAGGACCTGAAAGCTCATCCCTGCCATGGGCAGGGACACCTTCCACTGTCCCAGGTTGCTCCAAGCCCCATCCACCCTGGCCTTGGACACTTCAGGGGCACATCACCTTTACCCAGACTGAGGGAATTCTCGGCCAGGGCTGTGCAGAGCAGTGCAATGTTTCTGGTGGCTTATGGAGAAGGAGAGGTTCAGAGGGCAAATCCCAGTTCTGGCAGCCTGGGCTGCCTAAGTTTAGGGCTTTGCAAGAGCTCTTCAAAGAATGAATCCAGATCCCAATTGTAGAGATGCTTGGTTGCACATTTATTGTGGAGGCACCGGAGGTCAAGGATGCCACATGCACTTGGGTTCCAGCACCATGGAGTGAGGGGGAACCGTTTCAGCTCTACTCAGATGCTTTTGCTTGTGCTGCTTTCCTCTCCTCCATCATCCTGTGCTTCTGCTTCATCAGGCATGTCCGTGCATTTCCATGGTAACCCAGTTCACCATCTAGAAAGACAGGAAATGTCTGAGCAGTACATCCCATAAGCCTGTGTTCCATGTGAAGTCCATGTGTGCCCCCTTTCCTGGGTTTGAGACCTCTTTCCCTGAGTTTCAGACCCCTGTTCCCTGTGTGCTGTTCCCATACTCACATCTGTCCTGGTAGGCCTTGGTGACCTGTTTCAGCAGCTCCGTCTCCTTGGCACAGTTCTGTAACTGGTTGGGTCCTTCCCTCTGCTGGCACGCACCCAGCCTTTCCCGGATTATCTCCACGATTTGCTGATCAACCAGCCTGCAGGAAAGGTGGCAATGAGTGTAATAGCGGCCAAGAGATGACAGAAAGGCTGAACCAAGAGGTGAGGATACCCTGTGGAATGTCAGCACTGGGGTTTTTAAGGATCACGGTCCCTTATGCCACCCTGCCCAGGGACAGCAGGATTATGAGGTGGGTAATGTGTAATGGGGTGGGCAGGAGATGCTGCAGCTCCCAGGGCTGAGTGCCCAGAGCTGTGACAGCCATACCTGTCCCTCCTCCACTGACACTCAGCCTCGAAGAAGCACAGGTAGTCGCCCTCCAGGCACTCGCTCAAGTCGGGCACACGGCGGAACTTCTGGTGGTAGTAGTAGGTCTTGTTCTTGGCTTGCTGCCGCTCGATCCACTCTGGGGGGACAGCCTGGTCAGACACCCCAGCCCCAGATTCTGAGGGGCAGCACAGCCCCAGGACCTGCCCCAGCCTGGTGTTGCCTTTTTGGGCAGCAGCAGGTCCATGTCTGCATCCAGCTCATGTGCCCACCTGTGTGTCGCTCTGTCTGTGCCGTGTCCCTGTGTCTGTCCTGTCCACGCTGTGGTCTTGTCTGTGTCCCCATGTCCCTGCACTTCTCCCAGTGTCCATGCTGTGTCCTATGCCCCTGTGTCCCGGTGTCCGTGCTGTCCCCGGTGCTGCCCCTTCCCTCTGCCCGTGCTGTGTTGCTGTCTGTGCCAGTGTCCCTGTGCCCTTGTGGGTCCCACCTCCCTGTCCCTGTGCCCGTGCCCTCACGCCTGTGCCCCGGTGTGCCCGTCCCGGTGTCCCCGTCGCCACGTCGCAGCCCAGCTCCCGCGGGCGGCTGTCCCGCCCCGCCGGTACCTCGGACGAAGGTGACGGGCGCGTCAATGACATAGTTGAAGAAGGTCTGCACGAAGGTGACGGGGTTGGGCACCGATGTGGTGCTCTCGACGACGGGGGTGCGGGTCGGCGGCACCTTGTACGCCTCCAAGTCGTGGTCCTCCGGCATCGCGGCGGCGGCAGCGGGGGCAGCGAGGACGGGAGAAGATGGCGGCGGCCCCTGAGGCGGCCGGAGCGGAGGCGGGAGGGGGGGGGGCCGGGAAAATGGCGGCGGCCCCAGAGGGGGCGGGAGCGCCGGAAGATGGCGGCGGCCCCGGGGCACGCTGGGAGCTGTAGTCCGTGTGTCCCTCCTGCCTCACGGGATCCCAGAATCCCGGGATAGGCCGGGTTGGAAGGGACCGCAGTGTGTCCCGCGTGGTCCCACCTCCCTGCTCCGGCAGGATCACCCCAGAGCACAGCGCACAGCATTGTGTCCAAGCGGGTCTGGAATATCTCTGGAATGCACCCCAGGATTGTCCACACAGCACAGCCAGGCCACTCTCCGTGGGACTCCTGATGACCCCAGGATGCATGGCAGGGATATTGGGAAGAAACTCTTCCCTGTGAGGGTGCTGAGGCCCTGGCACAGGTTGCCCGGAGCAGCTGTGGCTGCCCCATCCCTGGAAGTGTCCAAGACCAGGTTGGACAGGGCTTGGAGCAACTTGGGATAATGGGAGGTGTCCCTGCCCATGGCAGGGGGTGGAATGGGATGAGCTTTAAGGTCCCTTACAACTCAAACCGTTCTGTGATTCCAAGTTCTATTGCCTCAACCTCTTTTCCAGTCAGAATCACAAAGCCTTTCTTGCCTGGGCTGATGGAGGGATTTTCAGCCTGAGCTGGGAGTGCCTGAAGCAGATGTTCACAGCTGTGGGTGTCCGGCACCCGGGAGGAAACTGTCCTAATTCCTGCCATTCACGTTCAAGTTGTTCAGGAGGGAGAAGCGTAAACTGAGACAGCAGCAATTGACCTTTATCACTCCACAACTGTCATGTCCAACCTGCCAGCTTGGCCAGGAACGAAATGAATATCGCAGCGGGTGAAGCGAGCGGCTAAATTTGTGTCTTCAGACCGATAACCATCTTAAGTATTAATCTGGGGAGGCACTTACTGACAGCCTCTTTCTGCTGCTGCCCCGGGCTGAAGACGTCCCATGGTCGGTACAGCTCTGCTGCTGTCGCTTGTGTGCAGAGCAGGGCTGGGTTATGGTCATGGAAGTGCTGCTGGAATGGGGTCAAACTCCCGGTAGTTCCACTTAGGCTGGAAAATAAGCTTGGTAGAAAGCGCAGCCAGGTGCTGGGACTGATCTTAGCAAGGAGGGAGCTGCAGTGGGCGCAGGACTAACCCTTTGCTGCTTGGGCTGACCCCCAATTCCCTACCCTGAAACCAGCTGTGTGAGAACTTGTCCGTGCTGCTTTCTCTCTGCATGACCTTGTGATTGGGGTTTATAGGTTTGTCTCTTCTAGTTTGTTTTTCAAGGCGCATTTTGGACCTGTACATGTTCCTGTTACCAATTCCTTTGGGCATCTTTTCCCATTTTTTTCTAATCCTTGATTGTGCTTGTTTGGTGCCATTTACCTTCATGACACGATGCCCAGGAATGCCAGGCAGGCCCTTTTGGTGCTGCAGGATACAAAATAAGTTGTTATAATTAAGAGCACAGAAGGACAGGCATAGTAAGGAATATATTTCTCCTTCAAAGTCCTCAAGCAAAGCAGAAGGAGAAAGATCCTGTTAAGTGTTTTATTTAATTGGCAGAATTTGTCCAGAAACTTAGTAAATTCAAACTGAGTAAGTTTAGATTAGATATTGGGAAGAAATTCCTCCCTGTGAGGGTGGGGAGGCCCTGGCACAGGTTGCCCAGAGAAGCTGTGGCTGCCCCTGGATCCCTGGAAGTGTCCAATACCAGGTTGGATGGGGCTCGGAGCAGCCTGGTCCAGTGGAAGGAGTCAGGGTTGGAACTGGATGAGCTTTCATGTCCCTTCCAACCCAAACCATTCCACAACTCTACAAAATTCTTTCATGCACATGATGGAAGCTTGAACAAAATCCCATCCTGTTACGAGTTTTCGGAATGGGAAAATGCTGGAATCAAGGAAGAGCCCAGAATCCCTGCAGCATTCCCATGTTAAAGGGGAGACTTCCCCTTGGGGTTTTTGTTGTTTTTCCCATTGTCCCATTTTCTGGGACCCGAGGGTGAAGCTGACCTTTGCTGTTCCTCCCCGCAGTCCCACCGCAAGTTCTCTGCTCCCAGGCACGGCCACCTGGGCTTCCTCCCCCACAAGAGGAGCCGCCGGCACCGCGGGAAGGTGAAGGCCTGGCCCAAGGATGATCCCAGCAAACCGGTCCACCTGACAGCTTTCCTGGGCTACAAGGCTGGAATGACACACACTGTGCGGGAGGTGCACAGGCCTGGGCTCAGTAAGGCTTGGCTGGGGGAGGCAGGAGCCACATCCAGGAGGGAACAGAGGGAACCCTTGTTGATGGGAATCTCCTGGGAAAGGGGTGGTGGAGAACACAGCTTCCTGGTTATGTCCTGGATGCCCAAATCTTGGGTGGTCAAAAGCCACCTCAGCATGAGCTGAGTGGTGGTGGGGGGCAGTCCTGGGAATACCCTCACTGGGATGGTGAGGGGTGGTTTGGGAGATGGGAAGGCTGGGACTGGCTGTGAGACCAAGCATCACCTTGCCCCCAGCGCTCGCTGTGACAGCCTGCCCACGAATCCCCACGGGAATGCCCTGATCCCAGACGGTGCTGAGCACCACCTCCCTCTGCTGCCTTGCAGAGGTCTCCAAGCGGGAGGAGGTGGAGGCCGTGACCATCATCGAGACCCCCCCGATGGTGGTGGTGGGGGTCGTGGGCTACATCGAGACACCCAAGGGCCTGAGGAACTTCAAGACCGTCTTTGCTGAGCACATCAGCGACGAGTGTCGGCGGCGCTTCTACAAGAACTGGTACCTGCTCCCAGCAAGGGTCATCACACGTGGGAAGGGGCCGCCCAGAGAGGTGGGGGAGTCCCCACCCATGGAATGTGGCACTCAGTGCTCTGGGCTGGGGGACGAGGTGGGGGTCGGTCACAGGTTGGACTCAGTGGTCTTGGAGGGCTTTTCCAACCTCAGTGATCCTGGGATTCCCAGACTTGGGGTGTTCCTGGGGGCCTGCACGTGAGGGGTCCCTTTCAGGATTTCCCCAGGCTCAGCTCCTGGTGGAGAGGAACTGCTGCTTATTTAGTCATGCACAGAGACACTGCAAACAGCTTGGTGCTGGGGATCAGCATATGTGTATGTAAATTTATTCTAATAGTCAGACCAAGTTAGCTCTCTCCACAATATCATGTGGCAGGTTCCTTTTCCCTCGGGTAGGTTGGACTCATCTCCTCCCCAGTTAACTGGGATGCTTGAGCTGAGGCAGCAAATGGAGCAAAACCGGATTTGTCAGAGGGGGAAGTCAAGGCAGAATGTAGCCCCTGGGCCTCATAAACACCAACACCCCAAATCACCTCCAGCAGAGAGGAAAATGGAAACGCGAATTT